GTGAGACAAGGGCAAGATCCTCCAAGCCACACGACAACTCGTCATCATCGCGAGCTCTCATGCCGTCCATCACATCCGATCACACTCGATGAGCCCGCGTTTTGACTGCGAACACGACCCAAGGCGGCCGATATCATGTCCGCGGTTGCTTTCTCTTTGACAACGTCCGGTGTTGCAAACAAATCGGCTTCTCGTATCTCCCCTCAGCTGAGCCTCCTACCGTCCCTCCTTGCGGCCCGTACGCTTCAAGGGACTTCCGCCATTGAAGCATCATGCCTGCAGGACAATCTGGAAGTCGGTGCTAGCAGCCAGACTTCTGGAACCCGATCACCTGGCTCGCCCACTGCCGAGGCTTCTACGCTTTGGCATCGCAAACCCGTCAACGCCCACCGGAACTGCGAGCGACCGATACGGTGTGTGATCCGGTCTGGCAGCCGTACTAAGTGCATTGCTTGCACGTCAGCATCGACGACGACCCTGCCCCGATAACTCCATACGCATCGTGTCACCCAGATCATGGTGGCGTCTTGGTGACAAGTTGACCTGCTGGAAAAGCAAGCCCCATTATCCGAACTGGCGGCGGGGTGAGTCGCGGGCCCGCCGTCAGCAGAAAAAGGGGTCTCGGCCACCACTCAACTGTCTTTCTGACAATGACTCTGGGGACGGACACCAGCGCCATTACAATGTGGCTTTATTTGAAGCTTGTCAAGACCAAACATTGTCCCAAACACTGCTTCGACAGAGCAAGCTAGACGAAGCCGGCGATGCGCGTGGCGGACTGAGGCCTGCACCGCCTCAACCTGGTCCATGCTCTTTCATTTCCCCATGCCTACGACACGTGGGAAGGCAGGATACGATTTCATGAGGATCGCCCCCCTAGCAGGTGCAGCGGTCCCTAGCCTCAGCTCGGCTTGTTCCTGACCTTGTCCAAAAAGCCCTTGGCTCGTCCCAGCAGCGTCGAGGGTAAGACACGCCGGGCGACGGATCGAAACAGCGCTCCACCGTTCTTTCAACGCCATTCTTCTGCCCACCTCAGTCACCCTCCGCGTGTGGTGTAGAGTGCAACAAGTAAAGTGCGCGGCGTGCAGGAAACGCATGCAACGATTCTGTATGTGAGATAGCCCGGTGGGCCTATGCAGGAACCATCTGCGTACCTGCAGGAAGCTATTTCAGGGGTTTGGGTCCTCGCACACGGTAAGCGGGCGACAAGATTCCGACTATTGGCAGTAGCCCGAGTTTGTCGACTTTCGACCTCAACACCGCCATCGTCAACGGTCTGGTTGTAGCTAAATACAGCAGCACCAGCTTCCTGTTTCTCGTACGGGCCCGAGGAGTAACCAAATCCCCGACGCGTCTGCTGCCATTAGACGCCTTGAGAAACGCGTTTCCTCAACGTCAAATGGCCAATTTAACAGCCCTGGCCGTGCTCATCCAGATCTTGCACCCGCGATGCTGTCTGTGCGATGGCTGAGAGCGGCGATGACAGCATCAAAGCACTGCAGGGCACAATTAAACGTAAGATCGAGATTTCATCCGCGTGATGCTGGACGAAATGGACGCCGCCTGAAGATTTCGATTCTCCCCCATCGGGCGAAGGACCCACGGAATCGTCGGAATGAAACGCAGCAATTCGCCATCAGGACTACTCAGGTGAGGGCCCGTGTGTCCGCCAGACCGCAGCGGTTGCTCCGGACATCGCCGGGGTTCGTTCAACACCACGTCACGTTGGCGCTGGACATCACTAGTAAGGCTGCGATGTTGTCGCTCGTATGGTGCTCGCGATCTGTCCTCGTTTGTCTCGCAAGACTCGGTAAAGTCGCGTTCGAACTGCCTCGTTTGTATCTGAGAATGGCACCCTAGCATCGCAGTGCCTACCTGCAAGTCTATGATGTGTGAGGCGCCTCATCCTCGTCCCCTCGGCTGCACCAACGGCCCAGAGGCGCATCGCTTGTGATGCCCAATCCTTCCCCAACCACAGACGACGAAACGAACTGTTCTGTTTCCCGCGTCGGACAGGGCCATCGCTATGTTTCAGACATTGCCTGGCCGGCTGACACGGCATATCCGCTCCTTTCGCAGCACAGAAACAGCAGCCACAAGTCGCACACGTCTGCAGTCATCCGACGTCAAAAACTTCGTCGACAGCTGTCACTTCCCGTGTTCCCCTGGAGAGAGACTCTGCAGGATGTGTTTTAATCTCCGCATTTGGTTCCCAATGCACCGGCTCGCCAATGAGTACCGTTCGTGAGAGGGGACAGAGGACAAGATGTCTCGCCTTGGCGATTTGTCACTTCGTCTGTGTTCGTCTCCAGAAGCCTACCTCTTCATCCGCGATATGGCCCCCAAGAAGGGCCCCGGCCCAAATGCCTTTTTGTTTTCTCCGTAATCCCCTAAATGGGATTGCTCGTAAAATGGGAGGCGGGGAGCGGGCGCTGTAGACTGTAGATCCCCCTTCCCCTTCTTCACCGCCGGGCGCCTCATCGGCACGTCGCCATTTTTGTGTCGTTGCAGCCCGCCCGGAGGTCGTATTCTACACGGCAAGGCCCCCTCTAGCCTCCGAGACTCAAAATGGACGTTGGTGGGGAAGTGAGGGGGAGAGAGCAGAGACCGTCGCAGATAGCGAAGCGTTTTGCGAAATGACGATGGTCGATGGGTGCTTGTTTTGTGTGGCAGACGCAGACGTACCCCCGGACTGCGATCGGCAACATGGGGTTTGCTGGTGGGACGACAGGTTTCTGCTGCGTGTGCGGCGGCGGCCGCCGAGGCGTTGATTTAGTGTTATTTTTTTCTTTCCTTTTTTCTGACACTTCTTTGCTTTTTTCTTTTTTTCTTTTTGTAGAACCGTCTCCCGCGACTTCGACGCAGGGATAACAGCGCCGTTGAGCATGATCTGACCTTCGTCGACATCGGCCCCGTAGTAATCCAGCCCGGTGAAAGATTTGGTTTCGTGGACATACGGAGGAGATGAGGCTGTTCTACAAGCCGACAGGCCGAGACAGACTCGTCTTTTGGGACAGTGACAGTTCAATGTCGAGTTGAGTTATACGGACGGCTTGCCTAGTAATTCTTTGCGTCTCAGACATCAGAGACTGTGGCTGGTTTCCCACTGGAGACTTGAATGCGGATGAAACTGCGTGCTGTTGTTTCTTCTTGTTGTGTAGTCGGATTTGAGTGTGAAAGAGAGACAGGATCGGAAAGCATCGGCTTTCGAAACGGTACGTTCTCGGGGTTGGGATTCAGGTCAAGACATGATGATTCTCGTAGGCGAAGTGGAAGGTGAGAGATGAGACGCAAGCTAAAGGTGAGAGCGGAAGCGGTCGGAGGCTTCCTCTGCTACTTACTTTGCTACTTGTCTCGCAGCATTCCGATCCCCAGGCCGTCCAAGAAACTGTCCCCCGTCGATGTGTACGCACCTGGTTCCCTCCGGAATGTTGTACAGACCCGATGTGCGACTTGGAAGTTGCTTCTGACTGTCAATCGCGTCACGGAGTTTTCTCATATCTCGTTTGGTGACCATGGACCGACGCAAGTGATATGAGGTCTCTGTTGGGGGATTTGACTCCCTGGGCGTGGCGGTCTGTTGATATTTGTCCGTAAACGTCGCTCCGACGTTCTGTGTACAGTCCAAGAGCCTGGAAGTTGATTCGAGCCTCGTCCAAACTTGATTTCGACGGAGCTTTGCTATCCTGGCAAATATTAACGATGACTTTGACCAAGTTTCATAGGTGATGACAAGGATAACACGCACGATGGCAGGAAGAATAAGTACTTCAAGTCTTCGCTAGTTTAACCAGAACTATCCATTCGGATTACAGTAGTCTCGCAATTCCCAATGATTCCGCATGAGATGGGTTCTCAATGATTCTTCACTTGGCATACCAATATTAGTATGGGCTCGTCCAGACGCAAAAGACTTGGGACCCAACGCAAAGAGAGGATTGGACCTGCAGGCAGTGATCTAGGTGTTCCCAAGACATTGTCCTTGACGCCCGTTGGCATATTGTTCAGCTATCTCACGCAGATTTCAATCAAAGACGGACAGCATACTCATGATTTTTGGGGACAACGCACACTAGGCCCGTAATTGTAGTGACCTTGAACGAAATTTAACATCAAGTTGTTCGGTCTCTGAAATTGCTGGTTATGGCGATATCCCAATATGCCCTGCTATTGATATCACGCAAAGCCTGGTAATATCCTGACACCCCCGCAGCGTGTCGAGGTGATGTTCATATTGCCGTGTTGCTACTAGACGAGCAGAACATCTGAACACTTGCGTCAATGATACGCTCATCACCTTCCTTTGAGTTGCTGCAGCTCGCCCACTAGACAACGTAGATGCACCTTAACTATGACATCCTTCTCAGTCTAGAGTTGCTTCAAAACGACAGAGGGCACAGCTTGACCAATGGAGGTATTCAACACAAATCGATACGGAGGAAAGAAATCCAGACTTGAAACTTGGATATCCTGTGATTCATGTTATCGAGTTACAGGCATGAGCACTGTTACATCTCGAGCCTGCCTAGGAGGCTCTCAAGATGTCCAGGACCCATTTGATTGCAATGTTAGCCAAGGCGGTCTTTGAAAAGGATCAAGTAAGTCAACTGTCGTTGAATGAGCAAGGAAAGATTTTCACGGGGGGTAACATTGTACTTAAATATTTTTTGGCCACTATATGTTCTGGGACAATGTGGGTGACGAGTCTTCGGTTCAAGAGTCCAGCTGAACTAGTGCAAGGTTTAGTCCGCACACCTTTTCTCGATATCTCCGACATCGAGATTTCATTCATCACAGATTCTGACTTGTAACATAGATAGGTAGATATGAGAAGATTTGAAACCTATTCGCTATTGGATCTATGGGGTCGTAAGCGAACATTCAGCAGAAAGCCCCTCAGCCGTCGGCGATGACGGGGAGCCTACCGCCGACGCTTCAAACGCTGAATCCCCAGAGAAGTCAGAGTGGTAGTGAAGACCCAATAGATAGGGGTCCCAATCCTAGACACCAAGAGCCAAGAGGTTTCGAAACTGGTCAGTTCCGAGAACGGTTGCGAGATCCATCACGCGAACTTGCCCAGTTACTAAAATGTAGTACTCAGTGAAGAGAAAGTCACTGCATGTCTCGAGGCTGATTTCGAACGTTGTTACTCGGGCGAGTTTGGCCTTAGAGTCTTGGAGCTGCTCGTTGCTTTCCTCATCGACAAAGTACACCTTCTCGAAGTGAGATCTAGTATGTTCAGACATCGACTTTACTCGGTCCTCTATGCTGGTGGTGGGCTTGCCGAAGCTGTCGTCCTTTTTGAACGAAGGAATCTCGTCACGGAGCCTACCCAAGACCATACGACGACCAGGGGTTCTGAACTTCTGCCCCTGCGATTCATCTTCTATGGGATGCTCCGTACTGTGGATGACCGCGTGAACTCTGTTGGTCAATTTCGACCATGCCAAGGTGATGCGCATGGGATACCTCACATCTGGGCCGCTATCGACCCCTTTAATGCCGATATCAATGGAAGCCCCGAAGCTTTCGGATGGGTTTGGTCTTACAAAGGTGCTGAAGAAGTCATCCCAAAATTGCCTCGGGTGTGGATTGATGAAATCAACCTCTAAAGATGGTGGAAGAGTGATGTTGATGTGGAAGGATCTGTGCAATCTCCTCTTGATCCATGATTCTTCATCAAGGTCTACGTCTTTCCTGACGTAAGCCGTAAAAGCCTGGTTCTTGGGGAATGCATCATCGATATCGCAGAATAGGGACCATGGATGGGAACGAACAAACCCATCAGCCGTGCGTACGAGTGAAATACAAACGTCTGCACCAGTTTCTGAGTCTGAGAGTCCCAAGTTCATGACATAGATGCCGTTCTTTCCTTTCCGAAACGTCGTGTCAATTCGAACACCCTTGTTCGCAAGCGAAAAGTCGCATACGTCCTCATCATTCGTATTTCGATGCAGTTTCGGGCCATCAACGAACTCTTCTGGTGAACGGGACAGGATTCCTCGAAACTCTGGCTTGCGAGAAGCTATAAGTGAGCCATCAGGGCCTCTCTCTTTTGCTTGCCATGCAAATAAAGAGAGATCGTTGGTCTCTCTTGCAATCTCCTCCTGGAGCCGACGGAACGCCCTGGAGCCCTCCCCATACAACATGGGCATATTGATGTCGAAGATTCCAAGCAAAGAGTAAGCTTGATCTTCGATTCGTTTCGTCTTCCGATGAGCTGCCCACGACATTTTCACTGCGACCGGAACCGTACGTAGTAATTGTCTAGACTCCAATACGGCATGGGGAATGCTCGTAATGCGCTCCAGCTTTTCAGCAAGCTCATTCTTGGTTGCCAACGCTTTCCACCGTGTGTTGTAAAATGTAACAGAGCTGGGGGCGATCAACTCCTGCAAAGTCCAGCCACGAGTGAACCACCTGGAACTGTTGAGCGCCTTCTCTTCCACAGTGTACGTAGTGAAGGAGGAAAACGGAACGTCAAATGTGAAATCCGACAGGTACACAAAGCATACGGCGGAAAGCTTGTACCATTGGAACATGGAGTTGATGGCTTCGCTCAGTTCAGCACTACTTGACTTGTCGATGCAGCAAGTATCAACCCAAGCATATGGTATGCTCCTTTGACGGGCTAATTCGCAGGTCTTTGAGATTTTGGAGAAGCCGGCCTTCTTGCGAGCCGTGTCGAGGTCGGAAATGTCTTGGAATGACACTTCATCGTGCTCCCACGTGTGCGAGAGAATCGCATAGTTGACGGTTGATGGATCGACGATTTCCTGCAATTTGAGTGTTTGGGTGTCAAGGAGCCACATCGAGAGTGCTTGGAAGATTCGCCGGTTTCAATAGTATTCACAATGATGAAGAAGGACGTATGCTGAGCCTTGACGCGGGGTTCTGAGGTGTTGTGATGCTGCTGTCATGATTGGCCGACTGATGCCCACTGCTGCCTAGTGATCATGCACGTCGCACAACCCATCCTTGGCGATGTTTTCATTTTCGTCTGTCTGGAAGTCTCAGCGTCGAGTGCTAGTCGAAGAAGCTATTGGCCTGGCGATGTTCGGGATGTTTGGAGGAAAGCATGAATATGTGATAATGAAATTGAAGGTTGATACTCAGTGCCTGTGTAGGAAATGGCTGTGTAAGAGTTGCCAGCACGTGGGCTCGACAGCTGTGTGAGTGATAGTCAGAGACCTCTACCACATGCAAGCTGACTGCCAAATCCAAGTATTGTCTTATCGGCCGGAGCACACCCCCGAATCGGCAAGTCAACAACGCGGCCGTGTTGTCCGGCGCACGCCGCCGCGACTTTCCTTTCCTAGGAGACGGAGTCTGACTCTTGTCGTCGTAAGAATAGCGCCAAAAGAATCGAATGCCAAGAGCGCAACGGGAGGTTGATATACACGTTCAAGAGTTGAGGAACCAATGGTTCCACCCACGTGTGCGGAACCTGGGGTTCAATTGGCCCAGCTGGGGCAAATGGAGCCCCGTTCTGGATTCCACCCCAGATGGAGGTCCTTTGGAACTGGACCCCTGTTTAGTCCGAGGTTCTGGAGGCAGACTTATTTTGGAACTACTGCGGCCGGGGGCTTTCGTTGGGTGACGGCCACGGGATGTCGAGAGGGGTCTTTTGGTGGATTCAGTGTTGGTAACGCTTTAACAATCTGACATGAGTTGGTGGGAGCCCTCAGACATCATGAGATGTGTGTGGCGATGGCTGCAAAATGTCGCCGTTGCCGACGGCGGAAAGTCTCTTCATGTGAGTTTCCGTGACGTGAATGACGCCGATATGACGGTCAAAGTCTCTTTGAAAGGTGATCAGGTTGATCCCGATCGGATGATCGATAGAATCGTCGTCAATGGCACCTTAGCTCGCAAAGACTCTTATACGCAAGGATACCTTTCCAGAGGGCCGGAATGAGACGACGCGCATGTAACCAGCACGCGCGCGTCATACATGAACTATTAATCAAACCAGAAGAAACTCGGCCTGCCAACAGGGAGCGCTGACAAGACACGTGGGTGTTACAGTGCAACCAAGCGGAGCGAGCAGTCCGCATAGAGTCAAAAGGCACGCGACAGCTGCGTTATCTTCAATATCGACTTTCCAAGACGGGTGTCACCGGCTGCGCACCCCAGGGCTTGGCTTCCTTCTTGGCGATCGCATCATTGCGTCTTCAGTGGTAAAAAGCCCGCGATGCCAAGTGCCAAGTAGCGGGAGCCAGCGGGAGTTCCAGCAGGGTTTGAGAGCCGCACTGGAATGACGTTCAACAACATTTCAACGTCGTGAAGCCTCGAGTTGCGCTTGAATTTGGTCGATTTCGACCGGAGGAAGAGTTGCTGTTTGTTATCGAGGCTATGAGACCGGCCGTTGTTGCTGATCTAGCAGCGCCGTCGCAACGTGCTCCAATTCGGCGCCGTGATTGGCCCGCCCAGTCCGGGAGCGTCTTGAGCTTCCCCCGGCTGTCCCCACGGAAGAGTCGGCAGAATCCAGCCTGACAGCATCTGAATTGTACCTGCGGCGCGAAGGGACATGTCTGTCAATCAGGCCGCTGTACCTCTCTTTTTGGTCGCCTGTCCTGGTCGCTCGGTAGATGAAAGAGGTTAAGGACGGCCGGACCCAGCATGGTCGTTGCCCGACTTGCGACAATGATTTGCCTGCGACAAAGTGTATGCGCAATTGCATTCTTCTGATAGGCTCCCTTGAATTGTAGATATTGACCCGTTCAAGCCAATACGCCGAGCCCGCGTCTCGTAGTTACGAGCCAAGTCGAGCCGATGTGGTGTTTCTGCATCTAGGATGAACTGGTTGAGCGCCAAGGTGCCAGTTGGGCGATGAATCGAAGCCAAGACCGATCTGCCGTCGCCAAGAACATTCGCGAGTTTGCCAAAAAGCTTGACCGAGTGCTGGCTGTGCTGCCCTCGATCCTGTAGGATGATGCTGTGCCAGGACAACCTGGGCTCAGCATACAACATCGGAAATTGTTAGGGCGGTACTGCGCGGGTCGCCGACGCGCGCGACATGCACCCCGGCATCCCATGTTGAGCCCATGTTGTCTCTGAGAGCGTCCCCATTGGCTTCAACTCAACTTGACATGAGCGGGCCGCTCCAACTCTGAGCGTAAGTTGTGTTGATTTCGCTCTCTTCCGTCGCTGGGAAATAGTTATTCCCATGATTCCCGAACAGGCCGTTTCTGCTGTTTGAGCGCAGCGTTGCCGGTGTCAGAGGCAAAAGTGAAAATGGCGGCAGCCAGTCGGGAAGCGCTGTCTGAGATTCAGCCCAAGAAGAGACGAGGGACGAAGTCTGGGAAAAAAGTGAAAAACGCACGCTATCCCCAATCGATCGCCGAGCACGGCTCCACACACATATCGTGGGCAGCAAAGATCCCTGTTTGACTCTGGACGGTGTTAGTCGTCGACCGGCGTCTCCAATCTGTTGGTGCCAGCTACTACCAAGCAGCATCCCGCGTGGCCCCCGTCTTGTGTCCCAACCCACGCCAACGGGGCTCGCTTTCTCTTGTCTGACATGGGCCGTCGAGGACACGAGTTGGATACTCGTGTGCAGCTTCGTCCCTTGTCACTCGCCTTACGCGGTACAATTCCTCCCTAGTCTTCCACGCTAGGACGTAGTCTCCGAGGTGGAGGCTGATCTCGAACCATGTCCATTCGTCTCCCTGGTCCGTCGCATCTCCGCTGAAGGTGTTCGTTTTCCATGCATACAACGCTGCGAGACCCTTCAGCTCAGATGGCATGTAGTCCTTGTCCGCGCCCGGCCCAGCCATATAAGCCAAAGTCCTCCCCGGCCGCTGCGCATTTGAGTTTCTCTGTCCTCGCGCTCCTCATCCTTCCCAGCAGGTAACCCAGAGTCTCCGAACCCTCTCTCTCCGAACCTTGCCGATCGTTTCATCCGGGGCTCAGAGGAGATCAACATCATGGCCGGCGTTATCCAACCCAACAACGCCGCGGCGGACGGCGCCGTCACCACCAGCGAACTGACTTCGGCTGAGGTCAAGAACAACAAGACCTCCGGAGGCAATGCGGCTTTCCACAACTTCAACAACGACTTCGCTCACGTTGCCGATGCCAACGAGCGTCGCCGTCTTGCGCTCGCCGAGATCGACAAGGCCCCCTTCGGCTGGTACCATGTCCGCGCTATCATTGTCGCCGGTATTGGTTTCTTCACTGATTCGGTATGTATTTGCATTGTTTGTGAGAGAAAACCAATGCTGACTTAGACCTAGTACGATATCTTCACCATTGGTCTCGTCACGAGCATGTTGGGCATCGTGTACTACGGCGGCACCCTCCCCGCGGAGAACGACACTGCGATCAAGGTTGCAACCAGTGCCGGAACTGTCGTCGGACAACTGGGATTCGGTATTCTCGCTGACATCGTCGGCCGTAAGAAGATGTACGGCGTTGAGCTTATCATCATCATCTTCGCGACCATCGCCCAAGCTCTCTCCAGCGGTTCTCCCTCAGTCTCCATCACCGGTCTCATGGTTTTCTGGCGTATCATCATGGGTGTCGGTATCGGTGGTGACTACCCCCTTTCCGCTATCATTACTTCTGAGTTCGCCACTACCAAGTGGAGAGGATTCATGATGAACGCCGTCTTCGCCAACCAGGGTTTCGGCCAGCTTGCCGGTGGCTTGATGATGCTCATCGTCACCGCTGGTTTCAAGGGCTCTCTGTCCACTGCTACCAAGGCTGCTACTTGCGCTACTACTGAGCCTTGCTTGATCGCCGTTGACAAGATGTGGCGTACCATGGTAAGTGTCTTGCATCCGATCACCTCTTGACTCATTTTGTTGCCGGGCTTTGCGTAGCAACTCTAAAACAAACTAAATCAACCATGAAGATGTAAAGAATTAGCAGCTAACATTTTTCAGATTGGCTTTGGCGCTGTTCCCGGCTGCCTGGCTCTCTACTTCCGCCTCACCATTCCCGAGACGCCTCGTTATACTTTCGATGTCGACAACGATGTTCAGAAGGCCGAGGGTGACGTCGACTACTACAAGCAAGGAAAGTGGGGTGAGGCCGAAGTTGACGAGGCTGCCCGCGTCGCTGCTCGTGCGCAGGCCAAGCAGGAGCTTGAGGTCCCTAAGGCCTCGTGGTCTGACTTCTTCCGTCACTACAGCCACTGGAAGAACGGAAAGGTTCTTCTTGGTACTGCTGGTTCCTGGGTATGTTCAGCTCTCATTTCAGATGTTTTGGTGGTGTAAAAGAAGTGGCGTTGGTGTTGGGTTGTTGGTTCCCAACTCAACCGTCACCCTCATCACATCCCAAAACGTCTTCTCATCACCATAACACGAAACTAACTTGTTTTAGTTCATGCTTGACGTCGCATTTTACGGCCTTGGCTTGAACAATGCCATCATTCTCAACGCTATCGGATGGTGTAAGTCTCAAATGGTCTTGGGGTTTAGGTGATTTTGAGCTGACGATGGCTTTAGCCGGCGGCGCGGACATGTACCACTCGTTCTACCGTACCGCTGTTGGCAACCTCATCTTGGTTCTGGCCGGAGCTGTTCCTGGATACTGGGTTTCCGCTGCCTTGATCGACACGATCGGCCGCAAGCCCATCCAGCTGTTCGGTTTCTTTGCTCTTGTAAGTCAAGTCTGAAACTCTTACCACCCCGCTTTTCTAACGAGAGAAACAGACGCTCCTCTTCTGCGTTATCGGATTTGACTTCTGGAACCTTTCCGGTGGTGCTCTGATGGCCCTGTACACCCTGGCTCAGTTCTTCTTCAACGCCGGCCCCAACTCCACGACCTTCATCGTTCCCGGAGAGTGCTTCCCCACTCGCTATCG